TTCTCTGCAGCCCTGGAATTCACACCAGGGAAGGTGGAGAACTCCTGCCCAGGCGAGCCATCAGTTCTCACCCGGCAACAATCCTCAGGACTTCACCACACCCCTAGGCCTGGAACCTTCCTCCCTAACTCACCCCACTTTTCAGCTCCCTTCCATGCACCCCATGAGAATGAATGCTCCTTCAGGACAGGGGCTGTCTCCTGTTTTCATTTGTACACCCAGAATTTAGCTCAGTGCTGGACCTACAGTACCATTAAAAAATGCTTGTTGGCCAAGGGAAGGGAATGTATCTTTAGCCTTTTTTCGTTTGCTCCCAGAGTTTAGCAGTGCCAGGCACTTAATAAATGTATACTGATTGTTTAAATCCTTATTATTTCCATAGGCTTTTTAGAACAGGTGTTCTTAACATGGAATCTATTAATATGTTTTAAATATTCTGATAACTGTATCTCAATGTTATTGAAAACTAATATGTTTAAAGGAAATCAATATTCAGTTGGTTTCCTTGGCAATCCTACGTATTTTTATTTTATGCATTAAAAAACATTTTAAAACCTATATGTTCAAAGATATTTATAAATATTTGTGGTGGCAAAGAACTAGAAACTGCAGGGACGCCCATCAACTGCGGAATGGCTGAACAAGTTGCGACATATGATCATGATGGAATACTACTGTGCTATGAATGATGAGCTCCACGATCTCAGAAAAACATGGACAGACTTGCACAAAACAATGAAGAGCAAAACAAATAGAACTAAAAAAACATTGCACACAGTAACAGCATTACTGTTTTAAGAACAACTCTGCCAAATAAGTAATTTTGACTCTCATAAATACCCAAATTAACAAAGCCCTATGAAGGAAGATGCTATTTGCATCCAGAAAGAACTGATAAAACAGATGTATGTATAGAATGGTTTTACATATGTGTGTGTGCATATATATGCACACATATTTGTGTCTAATGGTAGCCATCTCTAGGGTGGGGAAGGGAAAAAAATTTACATGATAACTATTTTATATTTAAAAGAAGTAGCAAGTTGTACACAATAAATTTGCAGTTTCATGTGCAATATTCTTTTTTTTTAATTATACTATGTTATGGAAATGCTTGCTTTATTCCATAAATTAAAAATAAGATAAATTTTAAAAAACATTCTAGGAAAGGATCCGTAGGGTTGGGGGGAGAGGGCTCCAAGATACTAAAAAAGTTAAGAACCCCTACTTTAATTGGCCAACAACACATTCATGAAGTGTCTAACTAACTATGACTGGCACTGTGCTAAGTGCTGGGGATACAAAGAAAGGCAAAAACCAGTCCCTGCCCTCCAGGAGCTCCCAATCTAATGGGGAGATGACAACATGCAAACGATTCTGAACAGACTATATGACATGGTGTAAAGGCCATGGGGCACAGAGTGAGGGAGACTTCAATTCACATTTCGGGCCTGTTACAAGGCATGTAAACTTTAGAAAATGGCTTCATGTTGGTAAAATAGGGACACCAGCTCCTCCAGAACCCACCATCACAAGGTTGCGGCAAGAAGCAAGTGAGAAAATCTATGGAAAGCACTAGGAAACATTAGTGCTACAGGAATGGCCAGGTCTAAGGACCAATTCTGCTCTACAGTGTGCCGTACCGACAGCTCGTTTTCAGGACGTTCCCTCCTCCCCCTTTACAGAACTCCAAGGGCGGAGAGTCCATCAGTCTCTGGGATGCTCTGGTCTGGGTGGGGGAGAGGAGGACTGGAACATTAGAGAGTTTGATATGCCACATTACAGCAAACATAACTGTGTGTAAAGGAAAGAAAGTGAAGCCAAACAGGGCAAGGCCAGTCATCTGAGCAAGTTCTGAATGATTGGCCTCCTGTAAAGTCGAGTTTCTAATCTGGGGACAGATTTCAGCCTCTATCTTCTTGGTTACAAGGTGGGGTTTGAGGTGGGGGTTAATACTGGGAGATTATGTAACATAGAAAAGACATAAATAACAGGTATTAACCAAGGCATAGGGGAAAGCCCAGAAACAGAAAGATTAATTTCCTTTTTAAAAGAACTTCCTGCTTCTCAGAAGTCATCTGATGGACTGGGCTTTAATGAAACCCTCTGTTCCCCAGAAAATTCCCAAGTCATTCTGAAGCCTCCTGGCTTATGCCCATGCCACTGCCTCAGCCCACACTTGATAAGACCTGTGCTCCTCACTCTGGCCATCTCCAATAACAGACAGGCTATAACCTCCTCCTTTGCGGAAGCTCGAAGAGGCAGCATGCCCAGGACATCACAGCTAAATCTCCAGTCTGGATGTGGGAAGGTCAGCGTGTCCATATGGTGCCAGCCTCAGGGGCATCCTGCTGATTACCGATCCCTCATAAATGAGACACTCCACAGGACTGAGAGTAGGTCCAACTCCTTTGTTTGAGGAAAATGCGGCCCAACAAGGTTAAGTTTACAGGATCACAGATGTATAACTGGAAGGGCCAGTTTACAACGAAGGAAACTGAGGCTGAGAGCAGTTAAGTGACTTGCCCAGGGTGACACAGTTAGGATCTAAAGCAGGATTTGGTCTCAGCCTTCCTGACACCAAGCCCACCACTCTATCCACTGTGCTACCTCACTGCCTGACACCCCACAAATAAAAAATTACCCAGCCAGCATCTGAACCCAAGTCCTCTGACACCAAATCTAACAAAGCACAAACTTTCAAAAATGATGACATTTCAGAGAGGACAAGAGTGCCCACGGGCTCCTAAGCAGTCTGATGAAACAATCAGACCTTCAGGAGGAACAGCACCTGGAACTTTCCAAAGAGGATCACGGACCAATCAGAGGCTGGCCCCCTGTGCTGCCTGTTCTCAAGTAACAGGTAATTCAGTAAATGCTGAAGCAGGTAGCTCCAAACTGGAGCGGTTTCCTGGAAGAACAGACAGTCTATCTGCACGTGCCAATCTGATTGCAGGCCTAGAATGAGGCCTCATGCCCTCCAGAACAAAGCTGTCCTTCAATTCTGGGCTCGATCACTGTCTTCCCAAAGTCAGGTGTCAATGCCAAACTCCCGTGTAAAGATGGCTCTGTGCGTGTCTACTGGGGGGCTCCCCTCCCCCCATACAAGAGTTCTGGTGAGTATTCACCTCTCCTGAGGAGCCAGCAGAAGTCTGCCTGGTGGCTAGCCTGGCCAGCCCACTAGTGAACATCAGTGACCATGAGGCTGCATTCCACAGCAAGAGTGAAACAAACCCAGGAACTGAAAAGAACAGGCTAGAGACGGACCAGGCTTCAGACCAGCGTGGGACAGGGCCAAAGGTGCCAAGTCAGAGTCAGAAGACGGGGGTTAAAATCCTGCCTCTCCTGTTTATTCCCCGCGTGATCGTGGGCAAGCACTTCACTTCCCTGGGCCTCAGTTTCCTCATCTGTAAAATGAGGGGGTCAGACTAGGTGGTCTCAGAGGCCCCTTCCAGCTCCAGAGATGAGGGTCAAGGAAAATGTCAAGCTGTTAAAAGCAATGAAGACATGAGGCAGGGTGGACAGAAACGGGGACAAGTGCTACTTGTCTATTAGGAAGCCCCCAGATCCACGGCCACCACAGGGGAATGAGAAACCCAAAACAACTGCTCAAGTTTTTAATCTCTCCTGCACCTCAGAAGTAATTAGGCCCAAGAGGAAAAGGCATTCTCTCCAGAGGACCGACAAGGATGTCGCTGGGGCCTGCTGCGACCAAACACTGGCTTACAAAACCCTGGTCAGGGCCCAGCTGAGCAAAGGAAACTCATTTCTACTGGACGTGCTGGAAACTCAGTCCCTGGAGAGACTGAAGTCTGGAGGCAAAACATTCTGGCAAAGGCCTGAGTGGTATCATTCCAGATCAGAAAGTTTATGGGAGTACACAATTTCAAAATAAATAAACCAATGCAGGTCTGAGGACCTACATCCTGTTTGTGTGAATTAAAACAAAACTCAACAGGGACCAGGAACCCAAACACTCTCCTGACATCACTTTAATAATGACCCTGCTTCCCACCCTGCCCCCCTCCCCCAAGCAGAAATGGAATTACTGAAGCTTCTAGAAGTCGGTGGCTCACTTTCCTGGTGGGAAAGAAAGGGGAGAATGTTAGCTCCAAGGGGGGAGCCCAAGAACCTTCTCTTTTAAAGGTCTGGGGGGAAGCCCACGTTTGATTTTTAAACAGTCTTATTGATGTCTTTTGTTTTTACATCATATACATCTCCCCCAGTATTCTCACCTTATTAGATTTTTATGGACCCTATCTGCTGCCTATAGATCAAATGGTCCAAAGTACTGATTCTGCCCCCAAATGTGTACAGACCTGTGTTGGTGGAGAGCGTTCCCTCACCTGGGAGTTCCCAAACCGCTGGAATCCCACAGGTCTAGTCCTGCTCCCCAATTTGTGTCTGGAATGGTGCCCTAGGTTCTGGATGACCCTTATGTAAATAAAACCTTTTCCATTTCTCCTTAAAAATCCCTATGTGGTTTATCTCAGAACCACAAACCCCTCTGAAGTTTACTCTGATTATATAGTACAGACAAAAGGTCTTTTACATTTGGATTTTTTTTTCCAGCTTCTATTTCAATGCTACCTTAATTTATAGTTGCAGCTTTCACTGAACATGGATTTAAGATTTCCTGAATACTCAGTCAAATTCTGTGGTGCCTTCAGCTCCCTTGTAACAAGGAAACATTATATACCTCCCTGAGGGAAGGGTCTGTTAGAGGCTGCAATGGATAATAAGATCACAGGTAGAGATGGGAAAGGTCTCAGAGTCCACCGCCTTGTTTTACAAGTGAGGAAACCCGAGGCCCAAGCACATCAAGTGATTTGCCCAAGGTAACAGCGGTAGTAATTATCACGAGTAGGACGTGAACCACTCCATCATCTGATTCCCCAGCCAGTGCTCTATGTATTATGCCGTCTCCTTAGGCCAGAAACAAATTCCAATAAGAAATTTCTGAAAGTGTCCAAAAAGGAAAAATAAAAAAGCATACATACCTTGTCTGCGTAAATCGGAATGTCATGAAATGGTGATATATACTCTCCACTTGCATTTTCTGTAAAATGAGAGAAACTAGTCAGCAATGCTATTAATCAGTATCCCAAATTTGTACAACAGCTGTATTTTTAGACTGATATTTTATTCACGCATGCAGAAAAGCTGTTTTGTGAGTTATCTTAACACTAGCAGAGTAGAATGAGGAGAGCATAGCACTGCCCCTCCCTCACCCCCCCCCCCATCATTTACTCCTTGAGTAAGGAGGGCAAGGCATTTAATCTCCCTGGGCCTCAGTTTCCTCACGTGTAAAATGAGGGGACTGCGAGTGAGGACCACTAAGGAGCTGTCACTTTCAGTCCTAAATTTAGGATTTTAGGAGTGATGATCTATTACCAGAAACAGAAAGAACTATTTGCAATGTGAATAATTCTGCCGCTTTAACTGTCAAATGAAACTAAATTATAGAATTTTAGAGCTCGAAGAAACATCTGAACAATCATGGAAGTCCATGGAAAACCATGAACTCTTCTTCTGTTCAAGATTCAGTCTCTCCAAGTCGGAAGACGTGGCTGGACTTGGGGGATGAGTTTTTCTGATCCTGTAAGGCATGGAATGGAAGGAGTGAGCGCACAGAAAAATCACAGGTCCTTGAAGTAAACACGGTAACAGTAAAGGAGGGGTCCAGGTATGACGGTGCACCCCTGTAACCCTGGCTACAGAGCGAGGTCAGCGGATAGCCGGACTTTGGGAGTTCTGAGCTACAGAAGACTAAGTGAAATGGGTGTCTGCCCCAAGGTCAGAATCAATGGAGGTACCCCCGGACCCGGGGCCACCAGGCTGCCCAAGGAGGAGAAACTGGCCCAGGCTGGAAAAAGGAACACGACGAAGCTCCCGGCCAATCAGACGTGGGCCTGGACCCCAGCCAGGGAGGGGCTGCTGCCCTCCCAGTCTGGGCAAGAGAGGGAAACCTGGTCTTTAAGGGAAAAAAAATGGGGAGGGGATGCTAGTAAAGCCTGAGGATGGACCAAACAGGTCAAGCACTACCAAACTCTAGGAGAGGGAGAATTTATTATGATGTAAAAACAGATAAATATCACAAGTCATTTTCTTTTCGTTCCATTGAGACTCGATGGTTTGGCTATGAATTAGCTTTCTGCTAAATGAAAATCTCCAAACACAAAAGGCTACATTACATTCCACATTTATTCTAAAAGAATACAACAGTTCCTTCCTTCCAATCCTCTTAAATTACATTATTAACTGAAGACAAGATTCTGAACTTCTTACAAATACAAGTACTTCTAAAATCAACGTAAGCCAACTTAAATCAAGCTTAGTATCTCGTTTATAAAGACAGCAGGTCGGTCTAGGTCCTGTCTACTTCTAAATGCCTGAAACTCATCAATCTGACAGATTCCTCAGATTCAAGCAGCAAAGAAATCAGACTGAGAAAAGCTGAAACACCCTGTCACCACCTCAAAAGCCTAAAGAGGTCTGTCCGTCCAGACTTGGCTGGTCCAAACTAGTCTACTTCTTTCGCCATTACAAATTACTTAGTCCAAATATGGTTTAGGAAAACACATTTATAATATGCATTTAAGGCTGCAAGCATTTGATCACTAGTTCATTCTCGTTTAAAACCTCTGGAAGTGCTTATAATAACACGCAGTTCTTACAACCTAAAGCATGGTATGAGAAGGCACTTCCTTACTTCTTTGCAGAGGTGGGGGGCTATGGGTGTGGAAACCTGCACAGGTCAAACCTTTTCAACTCATTGGTTAGCTTTGCTCAACTCTTTTTCTTTGCAATAAGGGAAAGCTCTCTGGGAGTGGGAGGGGCAGACTGGGAAATGATTATGTAAAAAACAAAATATCTCTCACACACACACCAGTTTCTTTCATTGCTTTTAAAAGCAATTAGCAAGTTAGCATTTATATAGCACTTTAAGATTTTCGAAGTGCTTAACACAAATTGTCTCATTTTCCTGATAACTCTGGGAGGTAAGTGCTATCATTATCTCCACTTTACAGACCAGGAAAATGAGGCAAACAGGGGCTAAGTGACTTGTCCAGGTCACACAATGCCTGAGGCTTCATTTGAACTCAGCTCTTCCTGACTCCAGGCCCAGCACTCTATCCACCGGCCAACAGCTGCTTCTAGCATTGTTTTGAAAGTTTTAGTTGGCCAAAGTAAAAAACACACATACACCATGGCCTCCTACTGCCCCCTTCCTTCCAGCTAAGCACCCAAGACAAGTTTGGGCCTTTTTTTTTTTTGTCAGAAACAGCGATTGCATTGGGTGTGGTGAACTTTGGCCTTGGGAACTCTGTTCTCAGTCACTTGGAATCCATAGTTGTCAGGCAGAGAGATAAAGGGCTTTACTCAGGGGTAGACCACAGTGAGGACTTGAACCCAGCTCTTGCCTCTGACTGCCCACTAGCCCCAGCACCAGGACGCCCCTCAGGGTAGTATGGATTGTGGACCTAAATTTACCAGGCTTTTAATCTACAGCTTTGTTTTTAAGCTTTTTAAGTTTTAAGTTTTTAAGTGTTCTTTCTTTCTTCCCTCCAAATCCCTGCAACAGAAGAGACTGTTTCTTCACGAACTCATCACCCCCCCACTACCTTCTTACCACCTCCACCTCTCAACTGTACAGAGCCCACCCCACCCCCACCAAATCCTTCAGTGCAGGGCCAGGAAGGCTATGCATCTGTGTTTCCTTATTCCATCATCACAAAAGTCTGATGAGAAGAGTAACTTCCACCGCTCCGGATGCCGGGCGGGGGACAGTGTGGGGCAGTGGTCAGTCAAAGGTTCTGCTGCTTACTGGGTCTCAACCCTGGACAAGCCCCTGCACGGCAGCGTGGGCCTTGACTTCATTTCCTATAAATGAGTGGGTCAGACTGGGGAATCCCTCTCTCAGGTCCCTGCAAACTTTCAATCTCAAGACTTCCTGGGCAGAAAGCTGCCCAAAGGACGAAGGTGGCAGGCCAAAAGAAAGGCCGTCCCAGAAGGGCCAGCTCCAATTCCATGGTCACAGACACAAACCTGACCCTGAGGCCCCTCACCTAAAATGTGGTGACCCCTTCCTGAGATCGCTGTTCTCAGGAAAGAGCTTTGGAAACCTCCAAGGACCACTGAGGGTCGGCTAGGATTAGTCACTCTATCCCAGCTCAATCAACAAGTCTGGGGTGAGACAATTCCTGGGAAAATTATGAAAATGTGTGGCTCTTAGGCTTTGCACATAGCTGCACTTAACACTTTTTTCAGGCATTCATTCATTCTGGAGAGGCCCCACTGGCCAGAGAACAGAGAACCAGCCTTGAAGGCACAAGCCCCACCTCTGACCACACTGACCGTAGGACCCCTCAGTGGTCTGGGGAACTCTGGGACTAAGGACTAAATGGAGGAGATGCCAGCTTGTTTTGGCACAGGGCACTACTTCTCCCAGGAGTTCCCTGGGTGGGGGGAGGCCAATGAAATCCCACATCTAGGCTCTCTCCCTAACCTTGGAGAAAAATGTTATAAATGATGGCATGATGCCTCTCATAAAGCCTCAGAATCACAGAACTGGGGTCAGAGTCCAGACTTCTCCTGTTATAAGGAACTGGAACCTAGAGTGGGCAAAGCTGGACCTAGAACCCGAGGCTCTCCGATCAGCGTTCAGGGCTCCTAATTCACTCTTTTTTCAGTGGCCACATCTCCCATAACCAACAGTTTTACTTAGCCACCTCCAAGTCTATCTGGGCTTCTCAGTCAGTAAGACTTATGCCTCAACTTCTCCCTGGGGCTGGTAGGGCCCTTCTTAAGCTGGGCTCCTCATATCTACAAAGGGAGCTCTGGTTCCCTCTTCAATTCTTTGTATTTTATTTTATGTATTTAAAGTTATTATTCTAGGAAGGGATCCTTGGACCGACAGAGGGTCCATGACACCAAAAGCTTAAGAGTGGGGGAGGGGCAGCCAAGGCCCCCCCCCCCCCCAAATGCCACCTTTCTTTCCCGATATTAGGAGCTTTCCCCATGGGATCCCACAGGGCTCCAGACCTGAGACAATCTTCTTAAGTGGATTATTTTACCTGGGATTCCACCTTCTCTCTCCTGAATTTAAACCCTGCAGCGGCTCTTCCAGAGCCAGCAGAGGCAGGTACAACCAGCCGGGCAAGGGCGGATGCCAGGCCATCCATGGGGGGAGGGAGTTCCTGCGTGTCCCGGGATTCGGAACAGTCAGGAACCCGGCATCCCCCAACCCTGGCTTCCCTGGGTGTAGCATGGGGGATGCCACCATTAGACGGCCCGTGAAGGTCTCCCACGCGCGGGTCCTCACTTTGCTGCCCGGGCACACAGTGGGCACGCAGCAGGCACACACCACGGAGTCCAAGGGCCTCTGGCCAAGGACCGAGCGTTTCTAAGACGCTTCTAGGCTCGCGGGGGTGGGCTGCGCTCCACGACCCCAGACCTCGGTCCTTGCTGGGACCGTCTGATGACTCCCCGGATGACCCTGGCCCAGCCCCAGCCCCTCTGGCCTCCCTCTGGCCCTTCCATCTGCGACAAGACGGCTCTGAACTTGGCCGCTCGGGGCTGGCAGGACCTCACTCGTCCTCTCTGGTCTCAGTTTCTTCATCTGTCAAGCACCCCTGGCTCCAGAGGCGGCCCCTGCCAGGGCAGCTGCACGGGTGTGGGGGGGGGATGGCCGGGCTTCAGTTTCCCCCTCCGCCAGACCCGGTCGCCCAGGGCGCCCCGCCGGCCACGTGGCCCCAGGACGTACGAATGAATGAATGAGGGAGCGCACGCAGGTGTGGGGGAGGGGGCGCGGGAGCGCGCAGCCGGGCCGGGGACGCGCGCTCCCGCGGGCACTCACTGAGGAAGAGCCGGTACTCGAGGCTGTAGGGCGCCGCGCGCTCCTCGCTGCTGTAGCCGCTCATGACGCCGCTCGCTCGGTCACCCCGACGCTCCGCAGCCGCTGCCGCACGCCTGCTCCGATCCGGCAAGGGCGATTCGGCCGTCCGCGCGTGCGCACAGACGAGCAAGCGGCGAGAGCACTGAAGGCCGCGGCTCGGCCCGGCTCCTTTTAATCCTCTCGCCCCCTCGGCTACTGCGCATGCGCGCGCTCCGCTCCGCCCCGCCCCGCTCCACCCTTTCCTCCAGTGTCTGTCTCTACGGGCGCAAAGTACGTGCCGGGTACCGCCCCCAAGCTCCTCCTATCGAATTCTCTGTAAAAGCCAGGCGCCACGCTAGCTCCTCCTACCGAATTCTCTGTAAAAGCCGCCCTTCCGGTATCTTAGCGTAGGGCCTGGCTCCGTCACAGTGACACGACTTCAAAGTGTTGGGACAGCTTCAAGCTGCTAAACCTTTCAGAGTTTCAAGTGTTACATTTTTAAATGTTAGTTATTTAAAATATTGATGCAAAGCTTTAAGAGCTTAAAACGGCACCAAGATTTTGGGGACACCCTGTATAGTGTGTGAGTGCAGGACTTGGGAGTCAGGAAGAGCTGAGTTCAAATGTGACCTCAGACTTACTAGCTGCGTGGCCTTGAGCAAGGTACTTCACTTAGGCCTGCCTCCGTTTCTTCATCTGCAAAATGGGGATAGTGAATACATAGCAGCAAATCCCAGGATCCCTCCAAAGACAGACCAAAGACAGAAGAGATGGAGACAGACACAGCAAAGTTCCCGCCTCCATCCCTTTTATTTATTTATTTATTTTGGCTAGGCAGTGGGGTTAAGTGACTTGCCCAGGGTCACACAGCTAGTGAGTGTCAAGTGTCTGAGGCCAGATTTGAACTCAGGTCGTCCTGAATCCAGGGCCGGTGCTCTATCCACTGTGCCACCTACCTGCCCTTCATCCCCTTTATTTTGATCAAGCAGGGGCACCTTCCTGGCCTTGGAGGTGCCAGGGACCCACGATCGAGGGTCAGGCTCATGGTTTTCTGCAGGGAAAGACTCCTCCAGCTGAATGGCCCCTCTGCTCACTGGGAGTTTTGTTTTCTAGACCAGAGGCCGGGTTCTGGGAAAATCTCCAGTTTTGGTTCCCACTTGTGTATACTGGAATGATGCAATACCCTACGACTTTCACTTTTTTTGCTGCCAGCTCAATGCAAGGAAGTCAGAGCCGGGTGACCTATGGACCCACCCCGACAACTCCCATTTATCTCCTTCATCAGACGCCCAATCAGGGTCAAGTCCAGCAAACCTCTCAGGCAGGTCTCTGGCCCTCCTCTGCGCAGCCCGGAGTAGGTCAGTAATTTTCCCTTATGTAAGAGAAAAACAGCCTCCAAGAAGGGTGAGCCTTACCCCTTATTTAGGTGTGAACCCTGTGCTACATGCGGGGGGAGGCAGGGGCTGCACCCAGAGTCAGAAAAGCGGGGCTCCCGGTCCTTCTGCCCCTGCTGGGATCCAGCTGTGTGACCTTAGGTGGTTCACCCAATTACCCTCTGTCCCCTTTAATTTCCTGGTCAGATTCGATGACTTGTAAGGTCTGTCGCGCTCAAATAATCTTCGATTCTGAATTTTAGCTCATTTGTGACAGTGTCACCATATACTGCAGTGTGACACGGCAGGAAGACCGACAGACCTCAAGTTAGAGGACCTAAGCCCTGACCCTCCCTCGGTGACCTTGGATGAATCATTTCCTTCTCTGTGCCCCCGTTTCCATAGCTGTAAAATGTAGGGGTTGGACTGGATGGCTTCTAAGGTCCCTTCTACCTCTAAATCTGAGAAATCTATTATCCTACAGGAAAGAGTTCTCATCTTGAAGTCAGAAGAACCTGGCTTGAGTCCCAGCTTTAATTAATCAACTTATTAAGCACTTACTACGTACTGGGCACAGGGGATACAATGAAACAATCTCTACTCTCAAGGTGCTTTATAATATAATAAGGATAGCTAGCGTTTTTACAATGCTTCCAGGTTTGCAAAGTGCTTCACAAAGATTATCTCATTTCATCCTCACAACAGCCCTGAGAGGTAGGTGCTATTATTATTCCCATTTTACAGATAGGAAACTGAGGCAGTCACACAGCTAGTAAGTGTCCTGAGGTCACATTTGAACTCAGGTCTTCTGACTCCAACTCTAGCACTTTATTCTGTAAGCCAAAAAAACAAGTAATAAATATTTGTTTGGTTTTTTTTTGGCTAGGCAATGGGGTTAAGTGACTTGCCCAGGGTCACACAGCTAGTGAGTGGTATGTGTCTGAGGCCAAATTTGAACTCAGTTGACAAATGTTTTAACAAAAAAGTAACAAATAAATGCAAATGCAATAGATGCAACAAAGCGATTAAATACAAGCTAGTTTGGCAAGAAGGGCGCTAGCAGTTGGAAGCCCAGGAAAGGTTTCCTGCAGAAGATGGTACGTAAGCTGCATCTTAAAGGAAGAGCAGTGCTCTATGAGGCAGAGGCAAGGAGGGAGCGCATTCCAGGAGTGGAAATGGGAAATAAAGCTTCGGGACTTGGTGCCTTTGTTTCTGTGGACCAGTCACTTCATCTCACTTCCCTAAGCCTCAGTTTCCTCATCTGTAAAATGGGGATAACAATCTCGGCAGTCTCCCTCCCTGGGTGTTTGTGAGGACAGAGTTGTGTGAGCCTCAAAACTCTCTGGAGGTAGTAGTAGAATGAGACGGTAACCACACTGACTCTGGGGTTTGGACTAGCTAGGAGGCTCTGGACCTTGGCTGGGGAAGATGACCTTCCCTGTGGGGTGGAGAAAAATCAAAGGTGGCGAATTTCTGGTGTCATAGAAAGCAGGAGACCAAGAAATACCAAGTGACTTTTGTAATGAGTTTATTGACCATGAGGTGTGACAGGACGCCGTTCGGAAGAGGCTTCTGAGAGAAGAGGAAGCCAACCCGGGGGGTCGAAAGGGTCTGCTCTCAAAGGAAACATGAGTTTTCTCAGGAAGCAGCGCAAATGTGACAGAAATGTTCTTCTTAGGGAGGGAGATGATGACCCGTTTTTTTAAAAATCTCACATAAATGTGAGCCATCTTGTTTCCCAAACCACTGTTTTGGAACAATAGTTTTTTAACTTGACACACATTTGTTAACACTTATGGGGTGCGGTAAGATGAAGGGCATTGGGTGAGAGAACAAGCTTAGATAAAACACAGTAATTGTCCTCCTTGGCCGGGAGTTATGACATAAACACAGTCACTATAATACACAGCATTACACAATGCTTGCAATAGAGAAGGACAGAACCGGGTGTGTGACTGGGGAAGGCAAGCCTCGTCAGGAGGTGTCATCTGAAACAGATTTTAACTCATGGGTAGGAATGTCCTAACCAACTTGGGGAGGAAAGGCATAGGGAACATCTCAAGCAAAACTATGGAAGCAGGAAATCACTGCGCATATTCAGGTGACAGTTTGGAGAGAGCATTGGGTGGGTGAGTGGAAGTAAGTCATGAGAGATAAGGATAGCTAGATTGTAGAAGGTGTGGAATGCTAGGCGAAGGAGAAGACATCTTCCTCTGTTGACAACAGGAAACTGGGTGCCAGAGGCCAGAAGAAGAAACAATGAGTAGGACCCAGAGAAGCAGATACAGGCTGAATATAAGGAAGATCTTAATCGTTACAACAATCCAAAAATGGAATGTGCTGCCTCAGGAGACAGGGGATCACCCTTCATGGAAGGTCCCCAAGCAGACACTTGTTAGGTGTCTAGTCAAAGGGCATACGGTTCAGGTGTGATCTGGCGGTGATCCGAATTCCTGGCCAGCTGAGATGCTGCTCCCTGAGGAGCTTTGAGCACAGGATTGGTGGGACCCCAACAGGTACATTAGGGCATTACAGATGATGATGATGATGAAGATGAAGGTAAGTAAGTGTTGGGTGAACGGATGGACTGGAGTGGAGAAAGATTGGAGCTTTCAACTACTTTTTATAGAGAAAGCAAACTATCCTCACAAAGAGTGACTTAATAGGGCCATTGGCCGTCTGACAGATGGACTAATTTGCCCAAATCAGCAATGTTGGAAAGTTTTCCTACCCACAACCAGATGTCAGATGCTTGGGCATCTGACAGCAGCTGCTTTTTTTTTTTTTCTTTCTAAAAGTGTATGTTAAACACTAAGGCCTGGGTCTGGGCCCTAGACTTCTACTGTAACAGGCTTGACAAGATTTCATCTTACAATGACAAGTGCGTGGAATGAAGAGCATTCTATTTTTGACAGTTCTGTGTAGCAGCAAACCATTTACACCTTCTCCTGGTTTCTATTAATTTAAAATACCTACTATATAAATCTCTGGGAACTAAGTGCTGTAGGAAGGTAATTCTGGGGAGGAAAACAGTCCCTTTGGTGCCATGACTTCTCAGTTTCAATTTTCAGCATGATAGATGCTTGGAAGTAACAAGCAATCAACAAGAAGTTATTAAGCATTTGGCCAGTCAGCTGTGGGAGGTACCCGGCATACGGACACCAAAATGAACTAGTCCCTGCCCTCAAGGAGCTTCCATTCTCCCAGAGAAGATAATACAGACGCAAAATGAATCAACAAACATTTATATAAGCATATACGAGATAAATACCAGGTTCCACGAGGTCAGTGCCCTCGTGGGCAGCAATGTAGAGCATCAAGAGGCCTGGGTTCCATTCTTGCCTCTGAGATTTACCGGATGAGTGGCAGGGGACCAAGGACTTTGCCTTTCTGAGCCCGTTTCCTCATTGGTAAGAGGAGGATAATAATACCTAGAGAACCTTCCAGAAAAGGTGGCTGTTAGGCAAGCACTCTGCCAGCTTTATTGTGCCACAGAAACGTGAATTGTTGTTATTATTAAGCCCATCTCCTTCCCTTCTCTGGTGCTCAGTTTTTCTATGTCCCAGGCAGCCAGGGGAAGCTAGACCACCTGCCTCATTGCTGGTGAATTAATTGATTAGGATTTGGAATTTCAGTAGCATGAATCCTAAGCAGTCCGGTGCTGTAGGGACTCAACTTAGTCCAGTTCAACAAGTGTTTATTAAGCATCTTTTGTG